AACCAAATTATTTTTGAAAACCCACTTACCACACAGTAACAGCTAATTATTTTACCTTTCTCCCTACTAACCTGGCCCTTATCACTGCAACATCTGACCGTCAGAAAATAGTGTGCCCATCCTCAGTGCGTCATTAATTTATCACTAGCATTTATATAGAACATTTGTCTTTATCACCTCTGCCTTCTAATGCTCCTTTTCTAATCCAGCTCCAAAAGGTCTAACTAGTTCCCACCTGTTTCCCTACATCACCATGTCTGGCAGCCTGCTAAGCATTTGCGATAAGAAGAGGTATTTTTATTGAACATATAACATTTTCTTTTTTTACGAGTGACAAATAAAAAAGGGGGGGTTTTGAGAAGGGGGGAGGGGTTGAAGACATTTTGTAGTAAATTTCACATCCATGAAAAGAAGCTGAATGAAAGTTCTGCTACTTTAAATCCTTTGTTTACTCCATAGAAGTCCAGCTACCTGCCAGGCCAGCATATTTACTTCCAGCATCCCCATGTAACCTTTCCAATGGGCCAAAAGAACAACCACTCTGACCAAGGGCATATTTACACTGCAGCCTGTGGTGTGATGTAGAAATTCCCAACTTTGCTTTAAGTGACCTAGTTGGGAGAGAAGAAGCAGTCTAGCCACACATGCAGCATGGTGCTCCACAAAGGGAAAGTCGGCTTGGCTGAGGGGGAGTGCCTGGGAGCTGGAATGGCACCACTTGCAGATCTGGGTGGAACTTTCTGACCAAATAGCTTGCTGGTCAACATGCAGTTTTGGGTCAACTGAAACTGCTAAGGAACCTAGGTCAAATTTGGTGAATATTCCTAGAATTTAGGAAAAATTCTTTCACTAGGAGGGTAGTGAAACACTGGGACAGGTTACCCAGAGAGGGGTAACATCCTTAGAGGTTTTCAAGACCTGGGTAGACAAAGCCTTGTTTGAGATGATCCAGTTGGGGCTGGTCCTGCTTTGAGCAGGGGGTTGGACTAGATGCCCTCCTAAGGTCCCTTCCAACCCTTACTTTCTATGAGTCTATGATTCTATTCTGCACTGGGGCAGCTGTTGTACACAGTGGAGTAGTGGGCTGACCATGGTACCAACCAACCACAGTGCCAACCATGGTAACATAGCTATTTTTGTGCCCCTCCCACCCTGGGCCCCAAAGGACAAGTGCTACCCAGGGCTGCTGTCCCAATCACTCTCCTTTCAATAAATATCAAATGCAAGCTATCCCATTGCATTAAAAACTGTGGGCCAGATATTCATAGGCCACTCCTCTTTAGTCACTCTACTACCAAAAATATTGTTTTTAAATGGGAAAGTGGCAATATTTCAGCATTTCCAAACTGGGACATTTTGATATTTTTTGAGAGAGAGAAGACGACCAAATTTAAATTTAATTTTAAGTAGGAAAATAACAGCCCTGAAAAACAAAACAATTCATTTCATGTGAGGTTCATTGAGTATTTTTCAGGTTTTCATCTCAGTGAGAAAAAACAAACCTTTCATTTAGGGTCAATTCCATCTGAAGTTTACTTTTCAGTTTTTGGTTCTGGCAATGAATTGGGGGAAAAAAGTTACCAGTACAAACAAAGCTCTAATTTCACAGGAGCCAAATACAAATGGCAATGGTTGGAACTGGTTAAATAAAATAACAATACAGATTTACAAATACAGATGTGAATAAAATGGGCCAACAATTTGCTTTGCTGTTATTGGGGCAGTTGTAGCATTTATTCTGGCATATAATGCTGATTAATGCAGATAAGCATTCCTGGAAATGCTTCAACCCTACCCACAAGGCTTCCAGGCAGCAGCACTTGGCACTGAGTTGGGTGAGAAGGGGAGGGAGGGGGGCAGCAGAAAAACAACATCAGTTGCCACAGCCACACTTCCACACCGGTGGCCCCAGCAGCTGGAAATCATTGCTTCCCCAGTATTGCTACCGCCCCAGGTGCCCAGCTGCTCTGTTATGCCTCTGCTTCCAGGAATTCATTTTTAACACAAATGATTATTCCTCTCTGAATATACACTGAGACTGTTTTAGTGGCTTATTTTGTCATTCACTGTCCTCTTCTCCTGCTTTAGAGATTCAGTGATCCAATCTGGATGCAGAAACTATGCTTATACACCATCACTAGAGTTTTGACTTAATGAAAGTTCAGGGTCATTGTGTTCTTCCCTCCTTGTGCACTACTCCTCTCCATTAGCAACATGGCCACCCACTGGCTGACTAGAGAGCCAAATTGTAAAAGAGACTGCAGAGGACTTTTCTACTTGCACCTACAAAGGTAGTAAGTAAAATGTCTGATGAGATTGCTGTTGCCCTAATTTCAGTCTGCCCATTAGATTATCATCTAATTTGATTTGTGCAGTTATATTATGTAAGTGGTGAATAGACTTTAAAAAAAATCCAAAAGTGTTTATGTGCACATCTTGTAAACCATTGAAGGGCTTACCCGTAACAAGCATATGTATATAAACTACTGTAATTGCAATATGTATATACATTATAGTACATTAAATATTATGTCACATTTTATGGCTTGTTATTTATTTAATCAACATTTGAATTGTTCTTCAGAAACTGTCAGGGCAGAGCAACTAAAACTGCCACATTCAGAATGTCGTATGTTGTGTGAAAGTCTCAATTTTTGTGACCAAATCATCAAATTAAATGCAAACACTGGCAGAAAGCTTGGACATTGCTTTTATTAAGACAACAAAACTTGGGCTACATAATAACTGATTCACATCTGTTCACAGTAAGTTTCAATTTAGTAGGCAAAATACCAAATGCAAGCTACCCCATTTCATTAAAAACTGTGGGCCAGGTCTTCACCTGCTCTCTACTAATTTAGATCCATTACATTCAAAAGGTAAAGCTCCAGCCCTCTAATTTTAGAGAAGTATAGAAATGCAAATACTACTAACTATAAAAATATTGATATAAAATATTTTCCTCTTTTACTGTGTGCACAAGGCAAATACATTTTGATACTCAGAGTAAATTTACCAAGAATAAAAGAAATTCCCATAAGATGGGAAAGTACTGGTACATTCATCAATCTTAAAAGCATTACAGTTTTACTGATCTACCATCAACCGCAGGAATGGTTTGCACTAGGCTCAGTCTTGCTGTTGGAACCAATATATTAAGAAAAATTCTCTGTGGCAAACAGGATGCAAGAAGATATTATACAAGAGACATCTGCATACTCCATAAAATTTTCTGGGTCAAAAGCTGAGAGAACTCACTTTGCCAACAAGTTATAGATTATGAAACACCAAAAGAAATCACTGAGATCATATAGTCCAGAGGTGTCAAATATGTGGCCCTGCAGGCTGGATCTAGCCCACGGAGCCATTGCACCTGGCTCACAAGGCTCTCAGAGGGGCCAGGAATTCAGAGGTGGGGTGAGCAGGGACAGGGCCTACTGCCAAATTTCCAGTTACAGAGACCTCTGATGGGCATGCATATCAGTGACAAGAGTGCAGGTGAGTTTGACACCCTGATCTAATCTGGCTTCCTACATAACATAAACCAAAGAACCTCACCTGATAATTTCAGCATCTAGAAATGAGAACCTGCAGATACAAATGGCATTGCAAAGGGTGTAAATCAGTAAATCTGAAATTAATGTCAAGGTTATGATCTCTTAGATTACCTCCATGTTCAGCTTTCCGTCCATTTTCCACTGATCGCGTTCAGACTTCCAATTATAATAGAAAGCACTTATTTATGATGATGTCCATCAACCTCAAAGTGGTGTGACTGTGTCCCCTGGGCCTGTGACACGGGCCCACATAAATAACTCCACAAGTGGAGTTTCTTGAAAAATCAAAAACAAAGTTACCACCATTGCCAGATAACAGGATATTATGCTGCTTCTCTCCCCATCTCACTTCCTTACAGTACAGGGCTGGAGCAGCATAGGGAGGAATACCAGGCCATGACAGCTCCCTAAGATGTTACTTGCTATAGGGAAGAGATTGGTCTGAAGAGCTGTAGAGATACTGGACATTTATCAAGTGCCCTGATCTCTACTAGTGATTTAGCTCAATTTATCAAGTGCCCTGATCTCTACTAGTGATTTAGCTCTACAGAGATTTAGCTCAATTCCCCACAAACCTTGGGCCATCTGGTCATCTCATCTCTGGATGCTGGGTGCTTATCTTTTCTTGGGCTGTGCAGGGAAGATATCCAGATAATTGAGAGTTAGTGGGAAAGTTTGCACGGTGAAACTCAACAAATAAACCCAGTGTTTATTCTTCCTTGCATATAAAGGATCTCGGCCTTTCCTTTAAAACCAATAAGAAACAAGTTCCATCTTTGCTTAAAAAACAAGGGTTTCTGAGCAGCAAGAAGAAGAGGTGAACTCTGCACAAGAGAGTAAAAGATGCCATAACAGAAAATAATATTGTAGACAATGTTCTTTTGATCATTTTTTCTTAATTGGGTATGAAATTAAGGATAGTAGAGCTGCACTGCCTGTGCTGAGAGGAATTTTTTAAGCAAATAAGTCCGGGGCAGTGGTTCGCAAACATGGCCGGTGGACCAGATCTAGCTCATGAACAGACTGGGAATCAGCAGGTTCCAGCCACAGCTCCAGAGGAGGCGCCTCCAGGCTCCTATGACTAGGGACCTATCTAATTCACAAGGGCTGCCCCCTGACTTTGCAGGCAGGACGCAGGCCTGGGCAGCCATTTTGCAGGTGGAGCACGGCTGCCCCCGCACATGCTTCTGATTGGCCGAGGGGCCTCAGTGGCCCAGCCCCTCACCACTGATTGGCTGCAGGGCTGCCTGTCATGTGACCCCATCCCTCTCCATTGATTGTCTGTGAGGGCTCTCCATCACACAGCCCCACCCCTCACTCCCAATTGAGCAGGCAGCCCCCCCACCCCTCCACACCCCAGCAGGCTGCTGCAGTGTGGTAAGGACTGCTGGCTCCCTCTGGAAAGCCAGCATTTTACTTTTAGTAAGGTTTTTTTTCCTGACGTTTTCGCAGATTCCATGGATTTCACAGGTATTGCTGAACTTCACGGAAATCGTGAATTCGGTAAGTCCCTACCTATGACCTTCCGTGGTCTGCCACGTTCAGTTTGTTCTCTCCACTGCTGCAGATGTGGCTTCTAAAGGGTCCTAATATTTGCCACATTCCTAACTGTTCCTTTGACAGCATCTGCTGATCCCCAAGATGGGCACATGGAGGTGGCCTGTGGCAGGGCCTGGATTGCAATGACTGGCCTGTGGTGGCAAAAGGAATGCCAAACCCTGGTCCTGGACATAGCTGAAACTGGTGCCACTGATCTGGGAGAGAAAAGGAGGGGGAAATCTATTTTAAAATATTTTTGGAAAGGGGAAATAATGCTGCCTTTGTGCAGAGGAGAGTTGTTCTGTGCCTTTACAAATAACTGATTCTGTTGCCAAAGTCAATAGGCAAGTAAATGGGCCTTTGGTCCCAGTCTGGAAACTGGCCTACTGCTGTTTACTACAGAGCATGCAATCTAATTCCCTACAGTTGTAGAAGCTCTCGGCCAAGTAAAATGCTACTCTGCTGTATCATTAGTCAGCTATAACAGAACTGCTCTGGGGAGGAAAGCAAGAGATAATATTCTACACTCTAGGTGAACTTGAACTTGTAAATGGATCTCTGTTTAGGAGAAGGATATGGGAAGGATATTTGACTTCATTCAGTAAAATAAAAACAGACAAGCAGGTGCAACAGGATATCTGGAGAAATGGAAGTTGCCATGCCTGGGTCACTGGCATGAAAAACTCTTTCCTTCCACTGTAGTTTCAGTCTGTTAAAACTCTTAAATCTATATTCTAGAAATTGCTCTGAAAAAAAACTTTTGTGGAGCAATTCAGGTCTTTGTTGCTGATCAGCCATGACCCATTCTACAGTCTCTCAATTCATACAATTTCTATACCCACCCCCCACATTTCTGCTGCAAGCCTAAGTTATGGGTATCCCTTACCTAAATAGCTGAACTGAAAATCAAAAAGAAGAGCCATTCAGGGATTTGTTGATTTGCTTCCTTGTATAGTTAGAGATGTACCAACTTTCAAGAGTAACAGAACACATGACATGAACAAGGGTACTCTGCAGCTGGGTAGAGAATAAAGGCAACATGCTGTGCACAAAGCTGAATGAGGACACACAAACCTACATGGCCAGATGGCTCGACTCTGGAGCTGCACCTATGGGAAGCTCTTAGGGCACTGAAGAAAAAGCCTGGCAGCCAAAAAGACCAGATACAGTAGTATTTTATAGCCCATGATAACTTGGGAGGATTCAGTATTGTGACTGATCGTTGGCCTCCATCATAAGGCCTAATGAGAGCAAACTGCTGAGAGGGGAGAAGCCACTGCTGTCTGTGTGATGAGACCAGTTCCAGCTAGAAAAAGAAAATATCAGAGAATCAGTCTGAGGAGTTGTAATCTACCATCATTCTTAGAAAACTGGACAGTTTTCTCAGTTTCTAGACAGAAGCTATAGTGTACTGCAGAGGTTATATTCTGTTGAGTATAAACAAATAGACCAGGTGCAGACATTACACTTTTACCGATGTAAGTGATAAAAAAACAGTCTATATCCAGAACAGAACAGAAGTTTGGCATACACATACTTGTTTTAAAATGGCAGAACCGGATCTAAGATTTGCCCACCCACACCCTCCCCACCACAGGGTGAATGCGTTGTTCTGTTCACTACTGATCTAAACTATGCCGCTTACAGAAACCCATGTAACTTAGATCGATTCCACTTTGGGTTCTTTTACTGTCTCTACCTGTCCACACACACGCGCACATTATAAGCTGGGTTAGTTTCATTTATGCTAAGATCTCTTTATGCAGCTCTGGCTGTGTGAACAAGCCTAATAAAATGGGTGTTAACATGGGTTAAAATGGGTGTTAAAATGGGTGTTCACAGAAGTATAAAGAGGCCTTCTGGTAAGTGAAAATCAGGCCCTATACCTTGAAGGACACAATACAGAATGGAGGACATTCAGACCACATCCCCTTTCCTCCCTCAGAGGTGCAACTCCATACATCAACATGGAGGCAACTGGAGGATCACCCTCAGCTGGGGTGATCTCCTTGTGCCTGGCCATGCCCATAAACCAGAACAAAGTATCCCAAGCTAGCTGAAGATCAATAACAGCATACCTAATAACGTCTATTAAAATTAGATAACCTTAATAAAATATCACCTATGGTTCTGATAGCCAAAACTCCAAAATTATGCAAGTGTTCATTTATTATATTGCCATGAACTGTCCTGCCACACACAAAGCTATGCTTATTCTAAAAGGAACAGCTGAATTCGGAGGTATCTTGGGAAAATGCCAAATTCCCCAATTGCAGTCACTGAGTGAGATGACTGGGGCTGTTCATTCCTTGCAGAACCATTTTTTCTCAGGCTCTCTGCAGACTCAGATAGGCAATGGCTCATACTTAGTTAATATTTTACATAGTATGAACTAAAAACTTCCTTTTTCACATTTAAAAAAACCCAAGCCACTAGTGCGGGGCACAATTCTGCAGCACATTTCAAATTACCTGCATCATGGGCTAAGTGGGAATCCACTTATAAATATAGTAGCAATATTTCCCTCAGAAATTGTATTTGATATGTGGCACAGAATCAAATGGTTACAAGCACTTCAGAGGTGTCATGTCATTCACTGAGAGCTCAAATGAAGCCATACAAGGTAAAAGGAAGGAAAATCTCCTTTACTTCTTTCCCTAGTAGTAGGGTTGCCAACCCTCCTGGACTCACCAGGAGTCTACTGGAATTGGCATCGATTTCTCAGTAACTATTGAAAGCAATCTTGGAGATTTTAATAGGCTATTTTAAGAAAATGAAATTAATGACATTACATCATATTGGAGAAAAAAATCTCCCAGAAGAGTTCCAGTCAGAGTTGGCAACTCTACCCAGTAGGACCAACCTAGATCATGGGTCCAAGTACAAGGGAGGAAAGCAAGAACTAGATGCTCAGTTCTCCCAAATATTCCCCCATGAGGGTGGGAAGCATTCAATCCACTATATAAATATTCTCTGTATCACTAAACTAGAAAATGCTAGCCTGTGAACATAAAAGGAAAAGCTGAGGCATTTAATAATTAATTGATCATGATTTAGTACTTACATGCAATAACTTTGGAATATTTAATCATAGAACACTTGGTAGCTAAAGTTGTCTGATTTGATTCTGAAGTTGTATCTCCCAGTCTTTCGTTGGTATTGGAAAATTAAAACAGTTGCTACTGCCAGCACAAAAACAAACACAGTGATGACAATAAGGATGATGTACCCAACTCCTAGCCCAGGCTCCTTTCTTGTCTTTGAATCAGATACTACAAATAGAAAAGATAAAAGTTTTTAAATTCTAAAACTTTGTTCCTGAATTAAGAACTCAGAAAAGCAGTAAGATTTTGCATAAAATGTAGGGTGCATCAAGTAGCTCAGCACAGTGGTGAGAGCATAAATACAAAATTAATTATGTCACTTTGGGAGGGCGATTATCACAAAAACATCTGAAAGACCAAGAATACTCCAGCTGATGTTCAGAAATTTGGCTCTAAACTTTTTTCTGTAAAAATTATGACAAAACAATGGACAAGATGAATACACAGATTTCTGACATGCTGTCCTATTTTCAGGATAACCCCACAGATACAACTTCCATTGATTTTAGTCCTACTGTCATTATTCCATGAGTCAATTTGCTCTTTTCCCCAAATATTTAAACACTTCTCTAAAGACAGGTGTTCAGTCTTCAGTGCATATGTGCATTTGTGCACGTGCTGTTAATTTACATATGCTTCTTATCTTTTTAAGTACATGCTTGATGTGCATAAGGAAACAAGGTATTCATCCAAGCACATAGCCAGCAAGGCACCCAGTTGGTTATGAGCTTGTGCCAATACCTGATGGACATTCAAGTTACTGACATCTGTATGCAATCAAATATAAACTTTTTTTTAAGGTGTTGTTCTCAACCACTTATGTACAGGATACAGAAGCCATGTGATTTTTCCAAGACAGATGTAATGCAATAATGCTTAATGTATTTGCTACTTATCTGTGAATCCGAAAGTCAAAGCCATGGAATTGAAGATGCACTATGCACATGGCAATCCCTGGATTCCTTAACACTGCCAATATTAGGAGCAGGTAGAACATACATCTATATGTATGCAGATGTTCCCAGGACTCAAACTATATCATGCAGCTTAAAGCTTGGGCGCCTGTTCACTGGTGCCAGAAGCCAGACCAGTAACATGATCTAAGTAAGTAGGGTGATGGTGGGATTGGGGATGGGCTAGTGGGTCTGTAAGGAGTGTTGACAGGATGAGGGAGGGGCTGGTAGTCATGGGGGCACTGTTCATCCAGGGCTGGAGGTGGTCAGGGGGGCTAAAAATAGCCCAGTCAGAGTGGGGAGGGTAGGAAAAGTTCAGTCCCAGGGCTAGGGTGAATGGCTGGGCTTTCCCAACCCTGGGGCTGTGCCCTGAACATATATACATGTTCAGTAGCTTGAGCTACCATACCCAAGCTAACTTAATGCACTTCCTCAAGTGAACTGAGTTAGATCAGGCTGGCTATATTTTGTCCAATCTAATTTCCCTGAATGTGTCAGCACTTGGATCAACCTAACCCTTGTTAGATTGATATACATGTAATGTCTGCATGTACCCTAGATCTACACTTAGCAGTACCACTTGCTACAGTACATGGCAAGCAGAATGACATCACTATACACCCTAAACAGCAAAGCTTCATAACATTTAACTATACCTGCTGTCCTGCTGTCACACATTTAGGCTTACCTTTCCTTTATGATTTAGAGTTAGACATTAAAATCTTAAAATGAATCTCATGCTTAAAATTATAACCATGTCTGGACAGGAATGTGAGGTAGCAGTGGAGTAGAAAGTAGTATCTAATATTTTCAATTTGGATACTGGCATAGGCACCAATTTCATGGGTGCGCCAATGCTCAAGCACCTGCAAAAAAAAATTAGCGGGTGCTGACCCTCAAGCCATATTGGGCGAGCCGGGCTGAAGTAACATGCTGCCTCTTCTGGGCATGCACGGGGCTCAGCACAGGAATGAAAAAAAAAGCACCCACTAGCATAAACCAAAGTCAGCACCTATGAATACTAGCACTATCTTTTTTTAATGCAAGTAGTAGCACACAGTATGATCAACTGTCCATAAATTTGGTGTCCATCATTTATTAGCAGTATGCAACTTTGGTGATAGTATTTCCAAATACAAATGCAAGAAAGATTTGGTGTATGTACTGGACTTAATTGTCAAATGTAAAAAAAAATTAAAACAAAATAAAATGCAAAAAATAAACTTTTAAAACAAAACAAAAATGAATTTCAGGCAACAATGGCACTTGAAAAGAATGCTTAGGGCTAAATTCAGATGGGAAGTGCAGATTTTCTGGCACTAACTCTTTCCTAGATTACCCTATTTTTAGGCCACCCTTACTGAAGAGGAGACAATGTTGGTGTTAATTACATGGCAAGGCGCCAAGTCAAAAATCAACCCATGTCTAGCAGCCCATTGGGCTGGTATAGTAAAGGTATGCCAGCTTTGATAGCAAATGGCATGCAAGGAAGGGAGGTAATTTGCGTTACATCCAGCCATCTTTGATTTCTAAGCCACATTGACCAGGTACAGTTAGAGTGACTGAAAGCAGCCTGTGGCATAAGTTTTGAATGGGGCTTAAACTCATACCTCAGAAGCAACAATAAGACACCAAAAGTGTTCTGTCCTACCTGCAATGCATGAAAAGAAGGCATAGACTAGACCCTATTCCAATTCCAACTTATTCCAGTCCTCCAAAATTTTGGTATTACATTATTATGATGTCAGGGAGAAAAAGTTGGTATATGTTAGGTCACTGGTTCCAAATCTTTTTTAGACTTGAGGGGCATGTCTACATGAGACACTTCTCTGCACAGTGGACTAATCTAATAACAGTAAAGCATCACTGTCTACACATGTGCACCATTTACCATGCAGTAAATTTGTCTACTGTCCAGTTAGCTACTACCTGTAAATACAGGTAGTAAACTAACTGCCCAGTAGATACTGTGCAGTAGTGCATGTGTCAATGCTAACTGGTAGCAAATTTTCTCCTGGTCATCCCCAACATGAGGTGGCAACAGAGGACAAGGAATTCCCCCAGTCCTGGTGCTCCTCAGCTACTGGCTCCCCCCAGGAGCCGGGAGCAAAGCAGTGTCAGGAGAGGGTAGCTCTTTGTCCTCCAACAGTAGCCAGGAGGCAAGTAGCAGTGGGACTGGGGAGCTTTCTATTCCCCAGGGGTTGGCTGGGAGCTGTCCCACTTCTGGGGCAGCTCCCAGCCAGTCC